TGGTTTTACACCGCTTTAAGCAATATTCCAGCAATATCACAGCAGGGGACACCAGAAATGGGCTTCACACATTATACCCATATGGGGAATCGAACCCAGGGCCTAGATTTTCGAAGCTCTCTTAGCGCTAAGATATTCGTAAGTTAATATTAATGTATGGCACTTACGACTGTCTTAGCGTTAAGAGAGCTTTGAAAATCTAGGCCCAGGTCTTCAGTGTAATGAGCAAACACTAGGCTACACAACCGCCCCTGTGGAAGAGTTGAAAATAATTCAGTGAACCTTGGGACGTCTGACGCTGATGTACATCCCATTTGTGAACTCATGGCGTCACACCTGATTCACAGAGATGCATTCATTTTCACTGTCATTTAGCCATGTACCCCCAATGGTCTCTGCATTGAAGTTTTAGATATATTTGAATGACTCGATACAATATTTCCTGTAGGCTCATGTCTGTGCTGCAATATGGATTATGCTGTGGCAAAATTAAGACACTGACATTGTATCAGAGCATGATGGGGTAAAGTGTTTGGGTACATGCCAACTGCTTCAGGTAGTCCATGTGTTCACATCATGTGTTTTGGTTGATAGTTAACCATCTTGTACAACTGCTGCTGTCAGATAATATTTGTAATGTTACGGAGTTGTCACCCCTTTGATTTGTCACCCAATCTCATTTAAAGCAGAGCTACATGCTTCACGATGGCAAGCACTTTTACCTATATCATACTTTACATCATACTTCATCTATTAACTTTCTAGCCCAGATGAAGTATAACATAGAGCACACAAACTTCAGGACAGCTTTTTCACAATATCATAAACCTTGACAAACTGATAAGCCAGGTCAATGATGCAAGTTGGTTGTTAGAACACAAAAACAGTGTGTTGACTTTATTGCCTGTTTGAACAGTGTTTCAGTTACAGATCACACAGAGACACAAATATTTAAAAAAATGCATTAGCAATCAACCCCATGCATGTTACACATTCATTTATAATATATTTAAGAAATTGAGTGTATATGTAAAATATGTTTATACCACAGCATCTCAGACACTCTTCCATTGGCCACAACAAATGGTGGACAAAAACAATGTATTCTGTTTCAGGTAACCTAAAAGGCAAGACTTGTACTCATACATTTCAGCACTGCTGCAAACAGTCATCAAGAAATCCACGTTTTAGGCATTGAGTCGATTTTGATATCACAGCTGGGAAGACCAGAACTGTGCTTCACACATTGTACCCATGAGGGGAATTGAACATTAGGTTTTCGGCATGAAGAGCCAACACTTTAGACACACACACACGCACGCACACCTACAAAACTGTCATGTTTCAGCAAATCTTTATTTCTGCGGCTAATTTAATACACAATTTTTAAAATACCTTGATGCTAATTTACATCATCTGCATTAAACATTCTTTCTATGCAGTGATAACAACCCATATATACTCTTCGAAGAAAGAGAAACTTGACATAGGACAAATTTGAAGTATAGGAAAATATTTGACACAAACCAATCCATGCTCGATCTCATGTTGCACATGTTGGACAGGTCTTCCTCCAGCAAAACAATGTTCAGTTGTTACCTTTGCCTTCTCTATCACCGGATTTGTCCCCCATTGAACATCTATGGGATACTCTTCATTGACGCTTGTGCCAGTGTAATCCGCCACCTCAGGCACTACAAGAACTGAACACAGCACTTCATCAAGTGTATCAAAACATTTCTCAAGACAGCATTCGGCATCTCCTTTCTACTATGGATCACCGCTACCAAGCTGTTATCGACGCTCATGGTGGTCACACCAGATACTGACATTTTACTCTGATCAAGTGGCTTTAGTAGCCCTCTGTGATTTTACCAAACACTTTCTGCGTAATCATGTTTTGGAAATTTATAAAGTGATGATTTTACTGTAACTGAGTAATGATGTCATGTTTGAATTAGTTATATGCACTCAGCAGGTAAACTCAAAAACAGCATGTCAAAGTTTCTTTTTTTGAAGAGTATATTTTGGTTCAGCGTAAACGGGCAGAAACATATTTTTCTTCAACTAATTCCTATAAATACTCACCCACAATGAAATTACTATCAAAAGTTGACTCCAGGCTATCATCCCTGTAAAAATAGATGATGAAAGTGGATTGTCATTTAAATGGAAAAATCCATGCTCCATGACACCCCCTCCCTCCACAACAGGAACAGAAGCCAATAACGAAATAATTAGTGTGACCTCGACCCCAACACATCACTACATAGACTGGAGAACCTGATGGAACACCAACCAGAATTTATCACCATTGTTTGCCAAAGTTCTTGCAGGTGACTGGGGTTGATTCATCTGCTGTCGCACTAGACTTCCCAAATATGGGGAACGTGATAGCAATATTGGTACAGTATTGACAAACATTATGAATGACTTCTTTTATTTTGTGAGTGCAACATTTCGATACAGAATTTTGTATCGTTGTCAAGCAGGTGTAACATAAAGTGGAGGGGATGTACTGTTATATACTGAGTGAGTGAGTTTTGTTTTTTGCCGTACTCGGCAATATTCCAGCTATATGGCGGCAGTCCAGTTACACACTGAATGTGACAAAAACAACTTGATTTACAAAAATTGGCTAATCCGTAAGCTGACAAAGCCAGTGGGTTAACAAAGGGAGTGAAATAGCATATATTAAAAAAAACACGAGTCATGTTCTAGGCGATTTCGTTGTGCTTTCTTTCCATCAGCTTCAGTGGCAGATATTCCTTTCTGAGTGAGTGAGTTTAGTTTTACGCCGCACTCAGCAATATTCCAGCTATATGGCGGCGGTCTGTAAATAATCGAGTCTGGACCAAACAAGAGATCAACAGCATGAGCATCGACCTGTGCAATTGGGAACCGATGACACGTGTCAACCGAGCCTGCGAGACCACCCGATCCCGTTAGTCACCTCTTACGACAAGCATGGGTTACTGAAGGTTCATTCTAACCGGATCCTCACGGGTTTCTTTCTGACATAACATAAATGATTACTCTTCATTTCAATGAATGAACTATTATTTTTCATCTAATTTGAGGTGGTGAGGTGAAATGGGGTTTAACGTCGTACTTGAGAATATTTCACTTGTACTAGCCGAGACTTAAGCTGTTTTTATAGTGCCAGCTCATTTAGATACCACGCCACAGTTAAGCATAAATTCCCCACTCAGACACATTATATTGACTCTGAGCCAACCAGTCCTTGTTGTACCCATTAATGCCAAGCGCCAGGCAGGGAACAAGTACCATAGTTTGACGTCTTTTGGTATGACGCAGTCGGGGATTGAACCCGCAGCCTTCCACTCTAACCACTACACCATTGAGGCTGTTCCATCAAATTTGAACAAAATGGGAGGTGGAAGGCATGATTTTATTAATATATTTTGGAGGCATCTGTGCTATGAAATTAACATGAAACATGATTGGTTTAATTATAGATGTGGTTTATTGGACTATGTGGGTGGTGTATTTCAACAAGTAAAGAAAGCATAATTTAGCAATTATTTTGTCTGTAGTAATAGGGTAGGTGGAGATGAGAGGAGATGAAATGGTGTCTAATGTTGCATTTTAAGATTATTACACTTCTTATGGGAGGTGGGGCGGTGGAGTAGCCTAGTGGTTAAAGCGTTGGCTCGTCACACCGAAGACCCGGGTTCGAATCCCCACATGGGTACAATGTCTGAAGCCCATTTCTGGTGTCCCCCGCCGAGATGTTGCTGGAATATTGCTAAAAGCGGAGTAAAACCAAACTCAGTCAGTCAGTCAGTCTTATGGGAGGTGCATGTACATGTGTGCATGTGTGCGTCTGTTTGTACTACAATATATCTGAGATGTTTACCCACATTTACTAGAGCTGAAGGGCTCATTTTCAGCATAAGTACTACAGATATGTTTTTCCCCAGGGCAAATTCTGAGTTCAGAATATAGAACAGTACCCAAAAGTGTAGGTAGGTTTAAAAGATTCAACCTGAAACAGAAACCAGTTGCAGTTTTGGCTCCACTGACTGTAAGTGCATGGTGGACAATGTTGTGTATTAAGGAATATAAGAGTACTATATGTATGTGACTGAATATATTCAGGGTGTTTTTCCTGATCTCATCGAGATGCTTCCCATGCTACTAAAAAGTAGTCTGACAGTTTCTGTGTTGAAACTGTAGAACCCGCGGTGTTCCATGTCTTGAATCAAGGAACCCGACATATTTATTCAGCACTGGGTAATGATTCATCCTTGGGTATCATTCTGTATTTTGATTTTGGGTAGGGTACATATTTGCATACAAAAACTTCCTGGAGTACGTACAATGGTACATACTGTATCTGTAGTACCCGTGCCCACAAGGACTCTTTCAGCTTTACTTGCCAGCATTGTACCAGCTGCAACATGTAAAAGTAAATATAAAAGTCGCATATCGCCGAATCTTTCTCTTACTCATATGTCATGGACATCTACGTCAAACAATCACACAATGATACATACTGAAAACAGTCCCAATTTGGCCATTCCTAGAATCATAGAAATAAAGAAAGAGTTCTTCTCTACTTCTATGCAAGAATATCCAGTCGGATTTGGACACTGTCTCGCTGAATTACTTGGAGGACTTTTTAAACAAATTGTAATGATGCCTGTACATTCGATAACGTGGAACAATCAGTAACCCAATATATGTTACAAGTTTGTGTTAATGTAACACAGAGATCACATATCGATATCAGCTCTACACTGCGTAACTCTCTCAGAATGAATGAAAACACAGCGCCCTGCTCTCATTAACAAAAGTTACCTCCCTTTGTACTCTCTAAATTTACGATTGTTTCGATTCTATCAATAAAATCTAAATAATTAACATGAACGTGGAATAAATATTGTGGCATTTTCTACTGTAATAATATGATTTAAATTAATCCACATTAATTAATTATTTATTACCCTGAACTAACTGCTTCGAGAGTACACGTAGGTCTATTGACTTTGTTTCCTCGTTCACCAAGGCTATGTGATGAAAGTGGACAGAGCTATTCACGCCCTTGTGCTATATAGCTATGGACTTTGAAAATGTGCATTGCTTAACCCCTGGTCGCTAGGATGAGCTGGAGATGATGAAAGTATCAATATGACCTCGTTTGGGGAAGCAGAAAGAATGGATCGCCATGTGGCAGACGTATAATGCTGAAATGAAAGTGATGGCCAACCATTCTGACAGACAGTTCGCAGTGGGTAGATCTTGGCCCACGCAAGAATTGTAACCGAGAACTGAACTGTTTAGATCTAGGCATCTGCGAGGGAGGAATCCCGTGAGGTAATGTCTGCCACGGCTATCTTTAGATAACATCACTGTTTGATAAAGAGTTATCCCATATAATCGTTGGGTTATAACAGTTAATACTACATCATCAGCCAGTGTATTAACCGGTATGTCAAACGATGCTTGATGTTATTTTGTACATTATGTTTTTTAAAGTACCTTTTTATTGTCAACAATTTGTATTAATTCTTGACAAAACCATTTCATTTTAAATATTAATAATGTCATTATCAATATATATTTGACATGATTCACTTTTGTAACATTTTAAGGTGCAGTATCACTGTTGAAAGGTGTGACACCACTGATTATAACATTGGTATTACATTTTAGTATAAATGGTTTATTATTGTGTATTTAAAATTGTCAAAACGTTTGACTTGATATCCAAGCACAGAATTGCTGGTGTATTAACTATTATATACACATCATCTCACAGAACTGAATTTGCTGTCCAGTTATCGTAAATCAATTAAGACACATTGTCTGAACAAACAGTCCCTGCTCACTGCAGACATTCCAGCCCTCTAAATATACAATTATCCTTCTCATGGCTATTTATGCTAAATTGTATGTGTATTTAGACAAACAGGTCCACCATATAGTTTACCTAAATTTATAGCCTTGTGGCATCCTGGTCAACATTTAGTAGAAAATTGATCTTGTCAATTTCTCAATAAATCTAAGGGGGAAAAAAATCACAATTATGAAAGTTATTCTGTGTCTCAACTGAAATAATTATGAATTATATGTAATGGTCATGGATTTTATCTATCAATAATTCATACTGTTTTCTATATTTACAAAGTACTTTTGGAATTACGAAATTTTTGTTTTTCAACATATGTGTCAGTAATAATTTTCACTATCTTAACAGCTTCAGAGATTTATTGGTCCACTGTCCACTTGAGACAAACCGGTATTTTAAAAAGTCTGCTTGGATGTATTGATCACTACGTATTAATTTATTCTTGCGTTAATCCTCAAACATGCATCATTTATCGGATTCTATCTGTTACATCATTTGTCTTCTGAATAAGAACATGATAAATATTATTTAAAACAGATTATTGTAAATATGATATTCCTGTTAAAACCATGTGCGATGAGATGCTTGAAGTTGAATGTTGCAAGTACCTGGTAGGTTCATATTGTATAAGAACTTATGTCAAAGTAACCATGGTAACCTAACAGATACCAGTGTATCAACATTATCAATATCAGATGTAATATGGACCGTTTTAGTTGTGGTGAAAAGATATGGCTGTAGGAGGCAATTGATATGTACAATGGAGTCAAAAAGTAATAATACTTGAACACATGCTTAGAATATATATTTGGATAAATATTCATATGTCACATTGTATTACATGTTACATCAGCAGCATCAGTACACCTGCCACAAACTGCCCATAGGGATTCCAGTTTAGAACAGGTCCCCAGCAACCTATGCATGTTGTACTTGTAGACAGAGATACCAACCACTCCGATTTTGGAGGAGTTACTCTGATTTTCAAATACAAAATCTGCTCTCCGATTTCTCTTTAAAAAAAAATTCTGAATTTTTTTGCGGTATACAATTTCATAAGTTGCCGGTGATTTATTTGAGTGAACACTGGTAAAAGCATTCAGAAGCTTAGTGTTTGATCCTTTGGGTGTCGATTGTGTATATTCTGTGTTATTGATGATGAAGATTGACAAAGTTTTTCCGAATGCATGTCAAAGTGAAGCAAAATGGCAGAGCCGACCAAGCACTCATGCCCAACTCGCACCTTTGGTGCTCAGGCCTGGCTTTCAGCCAGTCATGACTCTGTTTTCCTTAGATTCAGGGTTGGCGTCTCTGTGTAGAGTATAAGTATGATTTTATGCCCTTAGTAATAGTGTTGGCAATTGGTTGAAATCTCACAATTGATGATTGCTTCATTACCAATGAACAATCATCGAAAAAAATTGGTTAACATCATTTTTCAGATTTTCCTATCCAGGTTGTTATTGCAGATATGTATAAGATGATGCAACTCGCTACTTTAAAGTGATGACTAATATATCATGACCATAAACTTCCTGGAGTCTTCAAGAAATATTCAGTCATGACTTTTCAGTTAGTGAAGTGAGTTTTTTAAGAATTAAACAAGTTTGCAGGCCCCAACAACTTTGAAGATATGTTCCATCGTCAAGTGTTTTAAAGACTAAACAGCAGTTCCAAAATCGTTTGTGTTCGATTATGAGAAAATGTGATCGATTGCTTGGTCGTTTGGTCACTGCGACCAATCTTCGATTATTTCAATTAATTGGAACACCACTACTTAGTAATATTCCAGCAATATCATGGCTATTGGCACCAGAAATGGGCTTCACACATTGTACCCATGTGGGAAATCGAACCCGGGTTTTCAACATGATGAGTGGATTCACTTTAACCAAGAGGCTACCCCAGCATGTTGTAGAAGGCAAATTTTTTTTAAAAACCTCCAAAAGGTGACTAAGATTTGAATGTTTTATTAATCTACTACTATTTAGTAGATGTAATACTGTTTACAACTGTTCTGGATAAGATTCTCCACAGTGCATAGGGACAGATTGCTAAAGCAGTGAAATTGGTCACTAACATAAAGGTCATCAATCAAGCGCTGTTGAAACACTTCCAGAATTGTTGTGTCACTATAATCAGATGACAATAGATTTCCTTTCTTTCACATTCTTCATAAATGTAAGAGCTGCAATGATAAGTTTCTAGGACTTCAGTCCTGCCCCACAACGAAGCACATGTGACGCATGTGGTCTCACCTTAGGCAAGTGAGTTTGTTCAAAATTGCCTCTGTCCAACAAGCAGTAAAATTGGGTACCTGGTATGATACGATGGTAGTCTGAATTTGAACCTTGAGCGCCTGACAGGCTACCGGTTGTATTCTCCACATGGAGTGTTCTGTACTCGTTGACCAGGAGTAATATGTCAGCGCTTTGAGCATGCAATGTGCATGGATAAACGCGCAATATAAATGGACTATTATTATTAGTATTATTATTATTATGTTATGAAATACTTTTTTGACTTGCCATGATCTCAATGCCTTATTTCCAGACAACCCAAACTCTTATGTGCATTGGTGACATAATCATAGTATTCATGGTAACACCACAACAACAATTTATTTTCTTCTACATATACTGTACAATATATGGTAGTAAACCAGGTGATAAGCATGATGAAGAAATGAGTGAGAGAGTTTAATTTTACGCCACACTCAGCAATATTCCAGCTATGTGACGGCAGTCTGTAAATAAACGTGTCTAAACCAGACAATCCAGTGATCAACAGCATGAGCATTGATCTACACAATTGGGATACAATGTTATGTATCAACCAAGTCAGTGAGCCTGACCACCCGATCCCGTTCGTCGCCTCTTACGACAAACATGGGTTGCTGAAGACCAATTCAAACCCGAATCTTCATGGGTGATGAAAAAAAAATGGATGTTTGTAATGCTGAAGATAAGGTTACTTGGCAAATTGTTTTATTCACTTCACATCTGACAAGCATGGGTTACTGACGAGAATGTTCTTATTCATTCTCCCGGTACAGGTAACGTTCTCGGAGTGAGCATGGACAGGCAGGAAGTTTTGGTTACATGGAAAATTAGGAATCGAAACATTTAAAACTGCAACTGACGAGTGGAAAATGATTCAGTACAAGGAAACGAAATAGGAGTTAATGAAGGAATAATGTCATTCAGAACAAATGCCATGCTTGTAAAGTAGTATATACATGATGTAAACAACATCTGTGATAAATAACCCATTTCATGTGTTGACTACAACCAGGCAAATGGTTTTACCAATGTTTAAAATGTTCTTACTAAAATTAAGATAATATTTTTATACTGTTCTGAGAATTACATGGATATGATAAAGAACTGAACAAATTGAGTGCAAACAATGGTTATGATGCGGAAATGGCCAATTGATGCTTGGTGCAGAGATATCTCTTGACAATCTACATTGCACAGAACACTTGTTGCTTTCAGTCACGCAGGAAGTATTTGAAAGTTAATTCACATATTATGTGATTGTGTCATACTTTGGTTATTCACATATTCAGACATCTTACGACATCACAACTTAATCACTAAAGGCTGCATCATCGTGGATGATGGGGTAGCATAGTGGTTAAAGTGTTAGCTTGTCACGTCGAAGAAAAGGGTTCATGTATATCACAACTTAATCACTAAAGGCTGCATCATCGTGGATGATGGGGTAGCATAGTGGTTAAAGTGTTAGCTTGTCACGTCGAAGACAAGGGTTCATGTATATCACAACTTAATCACTAAAGGCTGCATCATTGTGGGCGATGGGGTAGCATAGTGGTTAAAGTGTTAGCTTGTCACGTCAAAGACAAGGGTTCATGTATATCACAACTTAATCACTAAAGGCTGCATCATTGTGGGCGATGGGGTAGCATAGTGGTTAAAGTGTTAGCTTGTCACGTCGAAGACAAGGGTTCATGTATATATCCTAAGAGCAACTGGTATGTTTCTTAAGCATATGACAGTTTTGTTCTCAAATGTGTTAACATGATTAAATGGTTATATTTCTTAGCAAGTTCGACCAAATTTGTACCTACCAGTACCTTTTACCATTCATATGTTCCATACATGATATAGACACTATGTACTAAGCAGATCTCTATTTTTCCTAAATATAATATTTTCAAACAATTTAAATTGATATAATATTTTCTGTATCTTTTGCTTGGAAAATTAAGATACTGTTTGCTATTTCATTTATTTACATGCAAAATATTACATAAATATGAAAAAGCTGACAATATTAGAGGTATAACGAGATACCAGAAGTGCATTGATAGAGGCCATCTGTTTTCACATTGTTTGTATTAGTCACCATTTTTTTCAAACAATGGTCATAAAATATTGTGCTTTTTTATTATATTTCACCTCATTTGAAAAACAAGAGCAGCTCAAATTTATGGCATAAC